ACGGCACAACTAATGAAACGAAACGATCACCAGAGTCGCGAGGCCTCACAAAGCCCTGATCCACCGTTTCGCTTCGTTTTTTGCCTCACCGCCCCACAGCACACACGAAAACTCTAGCAACAACTTCCTGGCGACAGTAGTGGGGGATTCGTTTCGCTACAGTCCAAGATTGTGGACGCGACGGTCCAAGTTCTTGGGTGGACTTCTTTTGGAGCGATGCAGCACACTCGTGAAATTTCGCAGCTCCTCCAGCCTACCAGCGGAGGACCTATGAGTTCGCGAGGGCTGCAGGCAGGGAGGAGTCGGCACACTCGTGAGGCCTCGCGAACTCGGAGGCTGACAGCATTCACGAGTTTTTTCTGACACAGTTCGTGTGGGTGCTATGCGGCGAGGACTTCACGAAACGAAGTCGTTTTTTTTTCCGTTTCTTGCATCGTGCGACGAGGCCCTGTGTCCAGAGAGCAGCATTGCACCAATAATGCACGGATGGAGGTTCGTAGTACTGAAAACCAATGTGAAGGAGAGTTTCTCTCTCTCCACCACAACACAAAAGTCCAGTCCCTTCACACTCCTACTTGGCGCTCAGCGCCCAGCCTACTCCTACACACCTACGATCAGCGTACTAATAGACAATGCAACTGTTGACATCAGCGGCCACCCGAAGTACTTGAAGATGTCGCCCATATGCAGACCATCGCCAATACAAGGTATGTGCCCTCACATCATCACCATCATCATCATCCTTCGCCCTTCCCTGACTTTACACCCACACATGTCCTCACTTACACCCGAAGACCACCCGTGCGCCTCACTGTGCATCCAAGCCCAGCCCGCTATGAAGGCTGGCTATGGCTCTGCCCTCAGCAGCGCCCTGCTCCAACACACAACCGCACGTGCGCAGCCTCTTGTTCCCATGCCGGCAGCTAGCCCGCGAGCGATTGCTCCAGCAGCGCTGCCGCCAGCCAGCAAGTGACCGAATGAGGCTGCCAGCCCTGAGCTCTTTCCTTTATGAAAAGAAATGGCCTGCTCGCGCAGCCTGGCTGCACTGGCCTGGGCCCAGCAGCTTCCGGAAGGCCCCAGGAGGCTGCCTGTGTACAGCAGCTACTGGACTGCTGGGCCTCGTTCGGTTGGGCGCCCAACTGTCTCTGTATGAGGCTGCGAATCACGCCCAGGGCCTGCCTTCTTTGGAAATGCCCGGAAGGCCGTGGAAATGTCTTTGTTGCTCGGCCTGAGTTTCACTCAACCAACTAGCGCGTCACAACTGCCTGGACCCCAAATATGAAATTCACAGTCAAGGGCCTCTTGTGATATGTCAGGCCCGCCTTCACGTAGGGCGGGCACCTCCGCCTTCACTTCGGGGAGGCAATGCTGCAAACAAGGCCCCATAGGCCTACCGAGGACCCTGATCCTCGCATTCCCTCCTCCTTTACTTCGAGAGTCCTCTGAGAAGTCTCTATTCTGCAGGCATCTTCCCCTTGAGTACTCCTTCGTAGCCTGCAATCACTTGAGGTGTTGTCCTCATGAGTTCTTCTCGTGTGAACCAGCGATCCTCCTTAGGATCCAGATGATGTCTGAAGCTCACACGGTACTGCATTCTCGGTTTAGGAGGGCGCCCTCTGCCTGATGGTCGAGGAACAAGCATCACTCGATGCTGAACGATCTGGTCCACGTCCACTTCGCCATCCATGGTTGGGGGCAGCATTGATCTCCTTGAGGGAAACTGATTAGTGGCAGCGAAAGGTGCCAGCTTGGAGGCATGGAACACAGGGTAGGTGCGTAGGTGTGCAGGAATACGGATCACGTATGAAGGCCCATCTGGTTGATCCCCTACAATGTCCAAGACCTCCCAGGGCCCAAAATACTGTGGCATCAGTTTTCTGAAACTTCTTAATATGTTCCCCTAGAGGGTCCTCGGTAGGCCTACAATACGATCATAGCATCCTGAGACTTCTTAATATGTTCAACGGCCTGCTGTAGTATCTATTCATGTTTGACAGCAAAGTCTATGGTGCCATGTGCTGCAGTGGGTTGTCTTTCTGGTAGCAGAAAGTCAAGTGCAGTTCTGGGCTCCCAACCAAGATGTAACTGGTTGGGAGTTATCCAGGTAGTATTATGCACAACGTTGTTGTACAGGCTGGCGACGAGCGGTAACTTCTCGTCTCAGTCATCCTGACTTGGCTTAATATAATGCCGAAGTAGGTGTTGTACTACCCGGTTTATTTGTTTTGCCTGGCCATTTGATTCAGGGTGATTCCCTGAGGTCATTTGGAGTTTTGTGCCCATCTGTTCGGCGGTTGACTGCCACAGTTCACTTGTGAATCTCACATCCCCATCACTAAAGATAGATGTAGGCAAACCGAAATCACGTACCCAATTATCCATAAACAGTTTGATGGCGTGGTCAGTTTTAGCTGCTTCTGGCATAGCGATTAGTCTTGCATACTTAGTAAAGCGGTCCACTATTACGAAGATATACCTTTTTTCAGACTTACTGGTCACTAGAGTATCCATGAAGTCCATGGACATACTCTGACCAGGTCCTTCAGGAATCGGCAAGGGCTTGATCAGCCCTAGCGGAGCCTGAGTCCTTGGTTTGTCCCTCTGGCAAACCTGGCAGGTTTCAACATAGTGTTTTGCATCTAGCATCATAGAGGGCCACCAGAATCTCCGTACTAAATTCGTTGATGTCTTCTTGTATCCAAAATGACCCGTTGCATCATAACATTCTTATAAAAATAAACTACGCAAGGACTCACTACTGGGAACACACAATTTTTTATTCCCTGCCTTCTCAAGAAACAGCAAGTCGTCTACCATCATAAATTCATCCGAAGTTTTTTGTCCTTTGCTTGGAATCTACGGATGATCTCAGACATAACTGAATCTTGTTGATAGGCATCCACCAATGATCAAGTTAAGTCGCTAGATATGCCAAATCCAGTCACTAGTGCGCCCTGATAATCCGCCCGGCGAGATAACGCATCAGCCACTTTGTTGTACTCTCCCTTGATTGGATCAAGTTGATAGTCATACATGTCTATCACTTGAATCCATCGCTTCAATGCGTCAGAGAGGATTGGATGTGTCTTAATCCAGCGCAAGGTTTCATGGTCAGATCTCACGTAGAAGAATCTGCCAAGGAGATAGTGTCTCCAATGTACCAGCGCTCTGTACAGGGCATACAGCTCACACTCATAAGTGGACTTAGCTAGTTCTGAGATGGCATCTTTTTGCTCATGTACTCGATAGGTCTCAACTTGGGCCCGTCCTTTTGCGCAAGGACCACGCCTATGCCATATTGGCTGGCGTCTGTGGTCACTGGTCACGACAAATGGCTTATTAGGATCAATAAGTTTAAGAACCTCATAGTGTGTCAGGCATACTTCAGTTTCCTAAAGGCTGCCTTACACTCTTCAGTCCACTCCCAAGGGGTGTCCAGTTGAGTTAGATCTATCAATGGGGAAGCTATAGTACTATAGTTCTTCACAAACGGATGATAGTAGCCCGTCATCCCAAAAAATGATTTGACCTCAGTAACAGTCTGAGGTTTGAACCAGTCACGTATGCTGGCTACTTTGGCATCATCCGGCCTCAGTCCATCTGCTGAGATTTCATGACCCAAGTACAAGATCCTGGTGCGACCAAACTCGCATCTCTCCAAGTTAACTTTGTACTAGTGCTGTCTTAGGAGACCTAGCACTGTTTTCAAGTGTTTTGCGTGCTCCTCTACAGTCCTACTAAAGATGAGAATATCGTCGAGGTACACGACGATAAACTTGTCTAAGTAGTCATGAAAAATCTTGTTCATCGCGTGCTGGAACCTACCAGGTGCATTGCATAGTACAAAGGGTATCACCACAAACTCGTACAGACCGTACCTAGTTTGAAATGCTGTTTTGTGCTCGTCCTCAGGCCTAATGGCAATTTGATGGTATCCGGACTTCAGATCTATCTTGGTGAAGTACCGCCATCCCTGCACTCTATCCAAAAGGTCGTCGATGCGGGGTAGGGGCTCCGCGTTCTTAACAGTGATGACATTGAGACCCTTATAGTCAATACACATCCTCAAGGTACCTCCCTTCTTAGGTACGAATAGTACTGGAGTGCCGTAAGGGGAGGTACTAGGCCGTATCCATCCCTTCTCTGTAAGCTCCTTGAGCTGGCGGCAAAGCTCATCTAACTCCGCAGGAGACATCCTATAGATTCGTCCTCTAGGCACCTTACTACTTGGGACAACCTCTATTGCATGGACAACCTCTCTTTCTACCACGCTTGTGGGCTCCTTAAAAAGGTATGAATATTGTGCGACGATCGATTCTATCTCTGGGGTGTTTTTACGGCCTCCCCTTTCTCAGAGACAAATACTAGATACATGCCCTCCTTGCGATTCAGCTTATAATAGTTATAGAAGGATGATGCACAATTGCAGCCGTAGTTTTCTATTAGACTGCTAGCTTTGAACTTTTGCAATCTAACAGATCTACCGTTGGGCAGCTTGTGAATCAATACCTTTCTATCCCAGTCAAACTGCGGTTGCGCGACCTCGAGGTAGTACATACCTAGGAGCATATCAAAGGGCAGTTCGTCGCTAACCAGGAAGGAGATTTTATGACTCACTTTCCCTCCTCCATAGGAGAAGGTGCAGGCTACGTCCTTGACATAGTCTTTTACCAACATTTGGGACTGATGGAATTTCGTGTAGAGCCTATGTCTGCGAAGGCGCCAACTTTGCGGCCACCTACATCAACCTCTACCACGAAATGTTCACCCTTTGGACCTCTACTTATCATCGCCCAAAAGTCCTTGGGGTCCTTCCCTGACCACTCAGTCTCTAACTCCTCTAGGGCCTCATACAAATCTCTCGAGTAGAGCGCCGGTGGGTCTGAATGTGTCCGCGGGGCGATACGTGGGTCTCTAGCCTTCGCCAACGCCCGAAGTGGGGAAGGCAACGTTACCACTTCAACACGAGTAAGAGCGGTTAATACTCCTACTGGCCTGACGTGTTTCCCTGCGAAGTGATAGCAGATGCACCGCCAGAGTTCGAAGAAAGTCCCACCATCGTTGGTGAGGCTACCCTCGTCAAGACTTTCTTGCCTCGGCACGTTCGAGACGTGTGGTCATAATTGCCACAGTTCATGCACGTGCCCCTGGCAACTCGGTCCCTCCACACCTCATACTCTAAACTAAGTTTTACCCATGTGGGTGTTCCTTTGTCGCCCTGACCCGTGGACCGTACTACCTTCTTCTTCCCGATCCCCCTAACCTTTTCCTTGATGGGTGCCAAGACTCCCCCATCCGAAGTCTCACTAGCCCCATCATGCTCTGTCACCTCCCCAAGGTCTGGAAAATCGTCAATCTTCGTCGTTTGGCCATCATGATCCACGAACATCAACTGACCCTTCTTCTTCCAGTCCTGGGGAAGTCTCTTCCTACCATCATGAGATTCCTGATGCGCGGATCCCAGCTTTACCTCTATGTCCAGAGCTTTCTTACTAAAAGTTACGAAGGTGTGTTGTTCGACATAGGCCTCATCAACCAGCTTGGTCCTTACCTCTGCAGGTAGGCACCTTAGGTAATCCGTCAGGAGAACCTGCTGGTCAAACCGCACACCAGGTACCACGAGTAAACGTTTTACGGTGTCCGTGACTCTCTCTAACATTCTTGAACTTGTGGGAACAAAGATTGTTGATAGCATCGGTGACCTTCTGAGCTCTTTGCGGGTCATGCCACCTGTTATACACGGACCGCACAAACTCTTCCAATGTCTAAGCCTGTGCCCAGGCATCGAAGTTTTGACCGTAGCCCTGCTGCTGCACTAAGCCATTCAACCAGCGGGCTGCTGACCCCTCTAAAAAGGAGGCAGCCACTACAACTTCCTTCTCTGGCCTAGTGAGCTTGTGCCTCACAATGCTCACATCAGTAAGCACAGTCCTCACCCAAGTGTCTAAGTCCTCATCCTTCTTTCTATCGCTAGAGATGGGTTTGGGACTCATCAAAGGTATTTTGGGCATCCACTGCATAGGCTGCATGGGCCCAGGGGCTTGTTGCGGCGGCTGCATAGCCACTGAAACAGGCTGGTGCACACTAACCTGAGCCTGGCTTGACAGTGGGACTATCGTAGGTAGTACGACTGAGACTCTATGAATCGGACCACTAGTTGCTACTAAACCACCGGGAGGGCGCATGCCAAACATAGGAGAGACAGTTGGCCCTAGGGGGTTGCGGCATCGATGAAGGACCCGCACCTGCAGGGGGAACTACAACAAACTGTCGCTGCCTCATCATTGTACGAGGAGCCCGGAGTTCAGCCAGGATTTGTTTCTGGCCTGCAACCAATTCGGCCAGCAATTCCTGCTGGACATTCTGCACTTCTGCCACTGATAGTAAGGCATTACGGAGCACACAGACAACAGGGTCTAATGCCGCCTCATCTAGCCCTCCAGTCTGCCTAGCTCCTGTACTCTACTTCCTAGTCTATCCTTTCTGAGTATTGTTTTTCTTCTCCTCTTTGGTACTTCGTCCAACTGCCGCTGTAGCTCATCCTGAAGTTATTCTGCTTGTCGGATTTTTAAATCCTGCAGCGTGAGTTGAGTCTGCTGGCTGACTTGCAAGCTAGCAGTCTGACTAATGGACCCCTGAGAACCACTCTAACTGACTTCTGACGAAGTGGAGTGTGAAGAGGTTTGCGACATAGTAGATGAAGTAGCCATGGTTGCACCGGTGCTAGCTGAAATTCTAGTCCTGGCACTATCCTCAACTGCCCTCACTCTCCTTGCCGCTGCTGTCTCTCTAGCCTCTCTCCGCAATGTTCTCTCGTCTCTTGGACCTAACTCCAAGAATGTCAAGGGTCGATTACGGGCAGTCCCACAAGTATTCCTACGGTTCTCATTAGTGCTTGCATCACTTGTGAGCTACAGTGTGTGTGATGTAAACTAGAATCCACATTGAATCCTACCTTAGCCTGACACACAACCGATTATGAATCACAACTAATTTCGGTCATATGGAACAGAAACAGTTAGGTGATATAGTAACAACTAATGTCAGATCCTACAAGAAATATCATATCTATTTTTAGATTACCCTAGAACAGATTGTCATGCAGCAAAGAACTAATCTATTTGCAGTTGTCTGTCAGTTGTTAGTCAAGTCTGTAACAACTAGAGAATCAAAAATAAAAATAACATCTCCCGTTGGAGATGTATGCTTGATGGCAAATTGTCTGTTGATTGCCACTGTGAGCAGTTACCGGAATCCCCCCTCACCCTGTATCCTTCTTGAGTGGTCACTTTGTGTCAACGTCCTAAGCATCTGGTTGAGCAGCGTGTCTGAAGGTGTGCAATGCGGCCCACCCTTGTGCCCCAAGTCAACGTCAAACCTGCCAGCCCCTGCACTTTATTTACCCTCGCATGCAACGAGCCTTACACCCGGTTGATCTGGCTGATCAGGAGGGATTTAAGGAGAGCCCCCATCTCCTCAGGAATTATTTAACGTCGCAGACAGAACGATGATCACAGCCAGATTCAATACCGAGTCCCGAACCAAAATATTTAAAGACGGTCTGGTAAGCGTCTGTCAAAGGGCTGACATGCCCTGCATGACCTCTATTGCGCAAGCCGCAGAACCAAGGACTTGCGGCAAAGCATGTGTGTACTAGTCCCAACGGGTTGGCATGGTGACCGTGACCCGAGTGCTTCTGAGGCTTCGCCCGTCTCCCACCAGCTTGCTGCCCAGGAAGAATGTCGACTGTCAAGGTTGAGCGGTTGCCACACCTCACATCGAGAGGACTCTCAAGACCTAACTCACTTCCTCACGGTAAGAAGCAATTAAGAGGGTAGATAAGGAAGAGAGCAACGTGCCTCATAAATGCTGCCCCCAACCACAGATTTTTCACCGGCAACCTTATGTGCAATTATGATGACCGGTCCTTGCCTCGACACAACCAACAGCAGAATGCGGTTCCACCTCAGCTTAATATCCTACATCAGCGAGCTCTCATCTTCCAGCATACACCTCGTATGCCACCACATAGCTCGGTGGTGCCCCCACTCTACCCTGGACCGCCTAATGTTCAACGCCAATGCCTTATCACTGGCCCACACCTCATGCGAAGCACCAATAGCTATTGTGAAGAAACAATGAAGCGCAATATAAACCAGCTCCGATATTAAATTGCAAGAAATTCCAGAGTACACCATCACATTGAAAGCCAAATAGTCACACTGTGTCTAGAGAGTAACATTGCACCAACAATACACCAATAGAGGTTCGTAGTACTGAAAACCAATGTCAAGGAGACTTTCTCTCTCTCCGCCACAACACAAGAGTCCAGTCCCTTCACACTCCTACTTGGCGTTCAGCGCCCAGCCCACTCCTACACAGCTACGATCAGCCTACTAATAAACAATGCAACTGTTGACATCAGCGGCCACCCGAAGTACTTGAAGATGTCGCCCATATTGAGACCATCGCCAATACAAGGTATGTTCCCTCACATCAACATCATCATCATCCTTCGCCCTTCCCTGACTTTACACCCACACATGTCCTCACTTACACCCGAAGACCACCCCTACGCCTCACTGTGCATCCAAGCCCATCCCGCTATGAAGGATGGCTATGGCGCTGCCCTCAGCAGCGCCCTGCTCCAACACACGACCGCACGTGCGCAGCCTCTTGCTCCCATGCCGGCAGCCAGCCCGCGAGCAATTGCTCCAGCAGCGCTCCCGCCAGCCAGCAAGTGACCGAATGAGGCTGCCAGCCCTGAGCTCTTTTCTTTATGGAAAGAACTGGCCTGCTCGTGCAGCCTGGCTGCACTGGCCTGGGCCCAGCAGCTTCTGGAAGGCCCCAGGAGGCTGCCTGTGTACAACAGCTACTGGGCTGCTGGGCCTCGTTCGGTTGGGCACCTAACTATCTCTGTATGAGGCTGCGAATCACGCCCAGGGCCTGCCTTCTTTGGAAACGCCCGGAAGGCCGTGGAAATGTCTTTGTTCCTCGGCCTGAGTTTCACTCAACCAACTGCTGCGTCGCAACTGCCTGGAACCCAAATATGAAATTGACAGTCGAGGGCCTCTTGTGATATGTCAGGCCCGGCTTCACTTAGGGCGGGCACCTCCGCCTTCACTTAGGGCGGGCAATGCCGCAAACAGGGCCCCATAGGCCTACTTAGGACCCTGATCCTCGCAATTCACTGATATTCCAATAAACTGGGATGGGGCAGGGGACCTCACAATTCGACCCGGAGTTATCCTGGCAGCCTGAACGAGTTTCGCTTACGAGCCCAAAGGCTCGAAGATCCCATCTCCTCAAGCACTCATAATTCCACCAGTGAAACCGTATGAGCGCGCTTCAGCGTGCGCTCGCGCGCTTAAAGACCCCCGCGCCACGCTCAAACGCGCTCAAAGAGCTTTTGGGCACGCACGCGCGTCAAAAAATCAGCGCACGCGCGCCACGGGGTTGTGCATGGCCAGGGGACGCCCTGCGGCCCTTTCCACGCAAAAAAAAAAAAAAATTGTGTGCAGGGTGGWTTTTTGGGGGATGGGGACCATGGGGGTGGAGGTAAGGGGGGGTTAGGGGTAGGGTGGGGTTTGGGGATGGAGTTTTCTCTTGCGCACCCACACCCATTCCTCATTGAATTCAGTCATTTTTCTGGAGGGGCCCCAACAGAGAATCTGCAGGGCTCTCATGTCTCACCAGAAACATTCGTCGAATTTCAGGCAAGAGCGGAGCAGGCCAGCAATATATCTCCTGAATCGGAAGTCAGGTCTGTGTTCCAGCAGTTATGGGCTACAACTTCTTACTACTGTAGCTCCCTTTTTCTTTTGTTTTCCTTTTCCTACGAGCATTGGCCCTACGGGCCTAGCTCCACTCGTCAGCACTTTCACAAAAGAAAAAACATATGGCAGCGTATGATTCCATGTTCTAGCATAAGATTATGTTTTGCACTTTTTTTTTTCTTTCTTTCTTTTGTTTTCCTTTTCCTACGAGCAGTGGCCCTAAGGGCCTAGCTCCACTCGTCAACACTTGCACAAAAGACAAAACATATGGCAGCGAATGATTCCATGTTCTAGCAGAAGATTCATTCTAGTTTGCACATTTGGTGAGTAGTGGAGGGAAGCCCTGAAAATCACGTGGTGAGTTGGCCTGCTACTGCCCAGATAATCACGTGCTCATTGGTCCCATAACTGCTGAAACATGGACCTTAATGTGAATCCACACCATATATAGGTGGTGTGTTGCTGCTGTGTGATGTGCTTGAATGCTGCCAATCTCGCGGCAAGTAGCCCCTTGGATATTCTTTGCGGGGGCCTCATAGATTACCTGCAAGGGTTTCTATGAAAATGTCAAAGAGGATTTTTTTTTTTTTTTTAATTAAAAACAAAAAACCAACGGTTGTTTCTCTAGTCCCCCCAAACCCCCAGATCCCCTTCCCCCCCCCCCCNCCCCCCCCCCCCTCCCCCGCCTGGGACCTCGAAACCCTCCCTCCGCCCTTCCCCTCCCCACATTTGGGACCCGTCCGCGATCGCGCTCAAGGCGCGCTTGAGTGCGGTTTTGAGCGGCGTTCAAAAACTGCTGAAAATGGCCCGCGCT